TTAAAAAATTAGAAAAAAGAATTCTAAATAGCCTTAAACACTTTAAACTAGAAACCAACAGAAAACAATGAAAAAAAGGAGAGAAAAAAGTATAAAATTACCAAAAACAAAAATCATCTAGACTGAATTTAAGGGACAAGAAATTATTCTAGTGACTGAGAAATTTGTGAGTGTATACAGTCATCCAAAAGATGGGTGTCGTTGTCTAATACATCTTACCCTACATCGCTACCGTCACCATCACCAACAGCGCCACCTGCAATAATGAAGTCAAAACACATTTTTCATAGTATGAACAATTATAATACAGGATCTCAGAAATGTGCATCATCTAAAACCCTCACTAAAGTCTAAACTAACTATAAAAAATATATATACATAAACTAGCATTTTATAGTAATTGTTCAATTTTAGAATATGATTAAATATCAGTATTAAAGGCTACACGGTATGAAAAGCTCACTTTTATTTTATCTTCTATATTCTCCTTTCCTTATTACAGACATAAAAAAAAAGAAAGAAAGAAAGAAAGAAAAAAAAAGTACAACCCACTGATTAGAATGTTTCAAAGGCTTTCTTAAATTTTTTCATACCACTCGAATGAGCTCTGACAAGGCCTATAGCATAAATATCTGTGTGTTAATTACCCTCTGAAGTATTAGTCCCACCTACTTTTAATTTAATCTGCTGTTCAATAACATGACCCTTTTTAAATGCTAATTATGGTATCTATTGAAATATTCCTTATAACCAGCAGATGAATATATTTTGTTATAAAAAAAGCAGATTTTTTCCTTCACATTCAAGCACATGCTATAAATGTTGATTAAATATAATCACTCTCCCACTTGCACTCTCTTTCTCACAACAACTGTTATAGTAATATATATACAAATATATATGAATATATAAAAACATAAATATATAACTGTAAATATAAATACATATACATATATATTATATATATATAATATATATATATATATATATATATATATATATATATATATATATATATATATATATACACACCACACACACACACACACACACAACATATACATATACATACATAAATATATGTGTACATGTACATAAAATGTATATATATATATTAAATACATACATACATATGTGTATATATACCCACATACATACATAAAAACAAATATGTATATATATATATATATATATATATATATATATAATATATATATATATATATATATATATATATATATATATATAATATATATAACACACACACACATATCTGTGTGTATATATTTATATGTATATATGCATGTATATATAATGTTATGTTTATATACATGTATATATAATATATATGTGTATATATATATATATATATATATATATATATATATATATATACACACAATACATATATCTTAATAAATATAAATATATTTTTCATACATATATATCATATATACGCATACATATATATGCATATACATATACACATACATATACAATACATAACATATATTACATAAAAAAAAAAAACAGGAAACAAAAAAAAGGTAAAGTGCTTTAGCTAGCAAATACTGGATAATATTTACCTCAACAAAAATATAAAAACATATAATGACAACTTAATCCTGAAAAACAGTGATCACTTATTGGAGTTTTTAATCTATTTCAAGACTTTACCATCAAAACTTCATGATTATCATGTAATATATATATATATAAAAGAAAGAGCAATTAATTAACCTAAATCAGACAAATCATGTGATGCACTAACCTGCCAGCGAAGACTTTTTAATTCCCTGGAAAAAATTGAAATCCTATTTTTCATCTAATAAATTAGAAGCAAAGGAAATATACCCAATGCACAAAAATTATGAATGGGTAGTGTACAACATAAGAAAATTATTCTGTTCACACAATGCATACCGCAGAAAAGTATGAACTGGGAAAGAGCAAAATCCCAACATTGCTTCACACAATGCTACACAAATCTTCAACTCTGAATTTGAATTTATAAAAAATTAACTATACCACTGTGCCGGTCTAAATTCAACCTTGTAAACATTGATACATCATACCAGAACCAGAATAATCAAATGATTTTAAAATACATTACAAAGCTTCTTGTACAATATGCCTATTGACATTCATTTGCATCACTTCTTGCATCACTTTGTAGTTAAAAAGAAACACAAGAGCTTACAAACTTTGTGAAACAACTGGACATCAAGAATAAAACCTCTTTGTGATAACATGACTATTTCTCAGTCTACAGAAGAATCCGTGAGAAGATACAGATTTTTAGCTCTCACACTAATTTCTGGATGGTCATCATATTGAGCTGCATCAATCCAATAACATTATCAATAGTCAAACTGTCATTCCCTCACAGTAGGCAAATGAGAATAAATGTTACTAACAACTGAACTCATTTACTCTCCTCACCATGAAAAAAATATACCAGACGTCTAATTTCTATCAACATCAAATAAACTACAGTAACAGGCAAATCTGAAAAATCATAATGTAATACTTCTTTAAAGAAATCCAGTAAGTACAAATGGCTCAGCCTCATACAGAAAGACATATACTAATAATGCACCACATCTGTAAATCACAAATTAGCATTAAGATTTACTACCTATTATCACTCACAATCACATACTATCACTCTTTTCAGATAATTGTACTTCATTCCTATCTAGTCATGTAGAGACACTTATTTCATACAGCTCAAGTGCAGTATCTCCTGTGCAAGTATCACTGAAAAGACAATTGCACCGTGAAAACTCCTGAGTTGAACACGAAGAAGAAAAGCACTATTAGGAATCCAAAACACGATTGCCTACTGGTTTCCCATTCACTTCCTAGTAATAATTTCTTTGAATGAGCATGCACAAAAAATATACAGCACCAAAATTAACAAAATTAACAAGAGCAAGAAGGTATGACAGTGCACTCAGCAATGGTGATGGCGAGAGAAAGGACAGACAGAGGAAGGATGGAAGGGTAATCGTATATCTCTTCATAATAATTTATGGTATTTTGTTAAATAAATATAGAAAAATGAATAAATAAAGTAAAAAACAAATAGATGTTTTCATATGCCTAAATGACTGGACTGCTTACCAGATGACAGCATTATCAAAAAGTATCTTTTCTTCTCCAAACATTACTTCCCACATCTCCCTTTTTGTATGCCTAAGGCAAGCAAAAAAGCAAACATAATGTAATCAAGGAAGTCTCATGAGTGAGCAAACTCATTTACTTTAAAAGTTATAGAAAAACTGAAACAATAGAGGAAGCAAAAAAACAAAAAAACAAACTAATATACTGCTAAGAAATTACTAATATTACTCATACCATAAAACAACAAACTGAAAAACAAGGACAATGCTGCCACAATTATGGTTTGAATGACTGACAGCATAAAATAACATCAGAAATCTCTTTATGTACCTCCTTTACCTGCATACATAACCTACAGCAAACATAAGAGAGCCTTTTGCATTTTTCATGGAAACATCTTTCCAACTTCTCTAACCTGAACATTACCTAGATCAAAGTGAAACCAAATAATGTAAAACTTTCATGACATTTTCTATCTTCCTTCGCCAATAGCACTCAGCCCCCGAATAATTACTACATCCAACAAAGTCCAAGGCTTCATGGGCTGACTAGAGAGCTAATTTATAATTTGGGGGTCTACTATAATACACAATCACTTCAGCTCAAATCATCTGGATATTCATAATATGGATAACTGGGAAACCTTTCTCAGGTTCTTTACTATCTAATCCAGTGCACATTTATCTGAGCATTACAATTGCTATATTCATTATCTAAGGGATAAAACATAAATCAATATAGCTAAAAGAGGAATGTGGGCAAAGGGTAAAGGGTAGAGGCCAGAGGCAAGACAGACATATGAAGAGGGAAGAGCAAAGGAAAGAGAAAAGGGAGAGGGGAGATGAGGAATTGGAAAATAAAACAGACTTTAAGAAAAGTATCGAACATAAAGAATGAGGGAGGAAGAGAGCAGGGAAAGGAAAAAGGAAGTATAAAGGAAGACTGAGTAAAATATACACCGACAAAGGGAGAAAAGAGGAGGGGGAGAGGAAGGAACAAGAAAAGGCAAAATTAAAAAGGAAGAAAAAAGAAAGAAAAAAGAAAAAAAGAAAGGAAACAAGAGGGAAAAAAAAGAACAGAAAGATAAAGAAAGGAGAAAAGCAGAAAGAATAGAAAAAAAGTAAAAAAAAGGGAAAAAAAAAAAAAAAAAAAAAAAAAAAAAAAAAAAAAAAAAAACGAGGTTAAAAGGGGATGAAGAGATATATGGAGGAAGCAGGCAATGAAAAGAAATGAAAAGAAAAGAAATAAGAGGTAAGACAAGAGTGGGAGAGGTAAAGGGGAGGAGGAGAGATTCCTGGAGTGAATCGGATGATAAATAGATAGCAAAATCACATACACTAAAATGTGCAAACTTGCAAACTTTCTGACAAAGATAAAGCATGTCTAATGAGGCAAAAATCAAAGCAACTAAGCTAACTTGCAAAAGATTGCATAAAGAATATAACATGAAAAACAAACAAACCATGTTTGTACTGTTAAGTAATGATTTTAACTATAATTAAAATTCTCAGTCTTTTGCACACACACAAAAATATATATAATATATATAAAAATAATGATTAAATATTAAAAAAGTGTAACTGTAAATACAGAAATCCACGTTCACATGTGCGCACATGCGTGTGTGTGTGTGTGTGTGTGTGTGTGTGTGTGTGTGTGTGTGTGTGTGTGTGTGTGTCTGTGTGTGTGTGTGTGTGTGTGTGTGTGTGTGTGTGTGTGTGTGTGTGTGTGTGTGTGTGTGTGTGTGTGTGTGTGTGTGTGTGTGTGTGCGTGTGTGTGCGTGCGTGTGTGTGTATGTGCGTGTGTGTGTGTGATGTGCATGTGTGTGCATATGTGTGTGCATGATGTGTGCGTGTGTGCATATGCATATGCATATGTGTGTGCATTTGCATGTCCATGTGCGTGTGTATATTAAATCTATTTTGAGAACCAGAAAACTGCCCAAGTAACTTACCCATCGCATTTTCTTTCACCCGTACGTTTCACATGAGAAACAAGAGTGTGTCTGTATCTGCCTGTGTTACTGTACTTAGAATATCTGTTTGTGTATGCACTTGAAAATCCATTAACTTTTGAACCAGACACTGTATAAAAGTCTGTTCAAGCAATCTACTCATCCCACAACAGGCACACTCTGAACAGACATTGGACTTGTAATAATAATAATAATAATAATAAAAATAATAATGAATGGAATGCATAAGAATACTGATAGCAAAAGACAACAACAAAAAACAAAAAGAAGCAAATGTTCAGTAAGCATTATCATCCAGCAGAGAAGGGTCTTTTAAACAAAATCTCACTCTCATTCTAGTCATGTCACAAAGAGGTTTTACATCAGCAAGATCTTTAACCCAGAGACTCATACTATAAACTAAACCATGCAAATGATTCTGAAATATATCAGGGATTAAACTGGAGGAAGCAATTAGATTCATAAGTCAATTCCCCAGAACTATGAAAACGGAGACATGAACAGAAGTAGCGCAATTCCATTTGGTTTTACAATGCAATAGCTCTTGTCGATAGAAAAGAGCAACAGGCCTTGATACTGATTCTTAAACCATCATGCTAACTAATCAGAAATGCACAGCGGCTAAGATGTAGCCAAGTACTGTTACTTATATAATCAAAATGATATATACAATATGCTTTCAAATATATATAGATATGTGTGTATGTATGTTAATAAATAAATGTGTGTATAAGGGTGTGTGTGTGTCCACATGTGAGATAATATGCTGCTGATATCTGCAAATCTAATTAATTATGAAGATTGTGTAACAAAATATTTGTAATGAAGGGATTTAACTATGACCCAGTGAATGATAAATAAAAGTAAAAGGGAAGAGGTAAAAATACAAAAACAAACAAACAAACAAAAAATGTAGGAGTTCCATAGTAAACAGAGACAAAAAACAGAATATTCTAAGGAAAAGACTTCAGAAAACTATATGGTTAAGCAATGTCAGTGATGGTGTCACTGTACATCTATTATGCATAAGATATTCATACATATATATCAATGAGTAGAAATGGCATAAGAGAAATATCAAAATTTGTTTTTGTAAATATAAAATTCAACATGAATGGAAAGATAGCATTACTCAGATTCACATTACACTTATAATACCTTAGACCTATCTTATCTATACTCATTTACAGATGAAATCACAATAATCCAATAGTTCTGAATCTGGGAAGAACTGTTAACAAGTGGCTCCCGTCTCTATTCTCGTAAATATCCAAACCTTATCCACTAAAACTTACTCTTGAAACTCGAATAAAAACGTGCAAGTTACTTCTGAAATTAAGATAGCTCTACTAGTAACTCAGAAAAAAAAGAAAAAAAAAAAAGAAAGTTACGTTCACATTACAGATACTGGGAGTCACTGATCCATGAACTGTCTCACTATGGTTTTGCGTTACTGTCTTTTCTGAACGTACAGAAATCACCATAAGTGCTTAGTTTCTAAGGAGGTAACTACTTGGCTACCTGACCTCATCTATTCAACTAATTTCTTGAATTTTGGGCGAAAAAAAAATTAATTCCAATTATTGCTGTTAATCATAATAACAACAGCAGTAATAGGAATGATAATGAAGATGATGGTGATGATGATAACAATAATAATCATAATAACAAAAGTAATAAATATCAAATATTATCATAATAATAGTATCATTATCATCATCATTGCAATCATAATAGGAATGATAAAAAAGATAAAAATAATGAAAATGATCATGATGATAATAATAACAATAATAATATTAACAACAATAACAACAAAAATAGCAATAGTAATAATGATAATAAAAAACAATCATGTTAATAAAAACAAAATAATAATAATAATAATAATAATAATATTAATAATAATAATAATAATAATAATAATAACAATATTAATAATAATTATAACAATGACAACAAAAACAACAATAATATTAACTAAAAAAATATATATATATAAATGAAAATAATGACAACAACAACAATGAAAACCAAAAACATGAAACCATAACAATAATTATATAACAAAAACAATAATAGTAATAACAATAATAACAGTAATAACAACAGTAATAACAACAAAATGATAATAACAATAACAATAATAATAATAATAATAATAAAAATAATAATAACCTTACTAATAGTAATGATTATAAAATTAGTATTAACAATAATGATACCTACAAGAACAACTATAATACTATTATGAGAACAAAAACTATAGCACTAATAATACTAAAAAAAGAATAAATAAATAAACAATAAAAATAATAATAAATAATAATAATAATAATAATAATAATAATAATAATAGTAATAAAAATATTAATATTAATAATAATAAAAATCATGATGATAATAATAATAATAGTAATAACAATAATAATAATACTATTAATAATACTACTAATAATGAAAATACTAATAATAATATCAATAATAATTATCAAAATAATAATACCAATAACAGTAACAATAACTTTACTGATAAGAATCTCAAAACAATAACCATAATAATGAAAAAAGCATATCACATCCTCGTATCTAACACTACTAATAATAATCAAATTATGAAAAGCAATCTACGTTGCACTTCCTTACCTCGAGCGGCAGGTGGGCAGCACAGGGGTGGTGGATCCAAAGGACAAACTGAAATCTCCAAAAGCTAATATTATTTGATGAGGCTGATAAACATTTCATTTTGAAAACTGCATAAAATTCCTTTGTAAATGAACTTGAAGTAGTGAGAGCAGATCTATACTGCGAGAATGTTTTGCATGAATTCTTCGTCTAGTGAAGTCACCAAATGGTTTTATAAATTTGGTAATCAAAAGGTGAAAAAATATCTGACCATATAAACAAAATTGGCAAATATCAACAATACATATCAAAACTATATATTCCTTAAATGAAAAAGAAGGAGGGATGGTTCATATCAAGATGCAAGTTTTTATTTATTCCTAAAAGGAAATTAAAAAAATATATATAATCCACATACATATAAAGAAGTCAAAATCAACGACTTGTAAGGAGAACTTGTAACCATTTTTCAAATCATTAGTTAAATAAGTATCCCCTTGAAATGACTTGCAGCTTTATACACATTATCTAAAGAAGGGAAGAAAAGAAGATATAGGTATACTCCCCTCTATCTTTTGCCCCCTCTTGCCTTACGCCCTCCTCTTCTCGGGGAAGCTTTAGCGGGAGTGGACCTTTCTTTCGTTTTTTTTCCTTTTTGAACT